AACGACATAGGTTATATGTATTATCATAAAAAAAAAACGAAAAGTGGTCTCTACATATGAAACCTTTACAATTTTGGTTGTCATAAACTCATTCAAATAAAAGTACTTTTATTTTACGTAACTTAAACTGATAGATATTCCGTAGGTATGTTTTTTACAAATTTTTAGCGTTTATAGGATATTTTGTAAACGTTATAAATTTTTTTTTGTATAACTGTAATTAAGTTATAACTGTTCTTTCTCACTTTTTTATTTATTTTTAAGTTTCTCAGTTAATTCTAAATTCACACCGAGGTAAATTATGTATCACTGAGCGAGTATTATTTTTGAAAGCTCTTGTCGCTCAGCGGAGAGAATTCTCGACGACAGTGTGAACAGTGAGCGATCAACTATATAATATGTAAGTATGTCTTTAGTTTATACGGAATGTACACATCTATTGTACGTTTCTCGAGGGAGAAAATAACCGATAGTTAGTCGTTATGTCGCCGGTGGTGGAACAACTGGATAAAGTACCTACTTATTAATTAACCAACACAAAACAAGTATTGACGACAAACTAATTGATAAATTATTTAAGTCCGCCCTCTACAAACCCCTACATAACTTCTTTTTGACAGCTCCACTGCATAGTATATTAAGTTAACTAATTAATTAAAAGTGATGAGCAGGCTTTCTCTTCATTCGTATCTAATGAATAGTGTTTGTAAAGATTCGTGAGTAAAGAAACGTCGCTCGCACAATGTAGTTTTGTATGTACTCTGTTTTTTTTTAATTTTAACCGTCGCCTCTCTTAAGCCTTTCAAGCGAGTACAACGCATGTTAGAGAAAGACTGAATTTTAAATTACCTAATAATACTGAACCCCCAAAAATATCGATAATTTTATTGTCATTTACATTTCAGTCATTGTTTTCTTGCTCCAACGGCAAACAAACTTATAAGTCTATCAACAAACGAACAGCAACATTTTTGAAGTTGACTTTTAATAGCTATATCGTGTACAGCTTCAAACTACAATAGTATGCGATACACTGAAAATTTGTAATTTTTTAATTTTTGTACACCATCTTAGGTCCGACTGAAATGTGGCATCGTTGAGGTTTGGCTACAGGAGTAATATATTTAGCTAGCTGACCCAGCGAACTTCGTATCGCCATAAAACTATGGGTGGTAGAGGGGTGAAAATTAAGGGTTGTTTGTGTTTTTAATATTACGAAACATATTTAACGTAGTTTTTTTTTCTTCAGACGATTTAATAATTATTTTGAACACAAAATCGGTTATTGTGATTAAACCATGATAGCTAGATATATGTTCTCGCGGACTTTTTTGAGGGTCTTAATGAGATCTACAAACCCGTAGTACATCATTTTGTTCTATTGTCAATAGTTTTTGCAGCGCACGCAAAAATAGGTTTTCGATTTTACACCTTGTGTTACAAAATAGCAATTTTATTACGGATCCCTTATTTTGAAAAAAAAAATATAACCTATAGCCTTCCTCGATAAATGGACTACCCAACACTGAAAGAATCATTCAAATCGGACCAGTAGTTCCAGAGATTAGCGCGTTCAAACAAACAAACAAACAAACTCTGCAGCTTTATAATATTAGTATAGATGTGTATCTATGTCTTATGTTGGGGTATCATTATCTTCTCTTCTTTGTCGTTACACTCTTGGCAGAGTGGTCGTGGCCGTTACTGCAGCTACATCGTCGGATTCAGTGGCGGCGACCCGCTGCACAAATCGACGCCATGCCTCCCTCACGGCAGCTTTCCTTGTGCATTATAGGGATTTGTAAACATTGGTATAGCAGAATTCCCGCTCATATTTGAGAGCTCCCTATGTCTATTATGTCCGTCTGGTATGGTAAAACCTCCTTCTTACAGGTATCACAGTGAAATACCAATACATTTTGGTATCTTCTCAAAAATATCTACTACATATGCTAGATACTCTCGTCGCTACACACACACACTGTTTTCAAACAATCTGACATTAGAGACACGCACACATTGCACGTAATATGAGACATTTTCTTTGCCTGGTGTATTTGGATTGCTTTATATAGGCGTGTAAGTATATAATCAAAGGAGAGGGGGAAGGGTCACTGCAGGCAGCGGCGCTAGTGATCCTGATCTGGTTTTGCAAGCGTCCACAGTCTGTGGTGACCGCTTGCCATCAGGCGGGCTGTGAGCTAACGATTTTACTTTAAAAAAATACGTACGGCATATACAGGGCGTCCTACGGGTTTGTTACATGGAGGGAAAGTATATTAAATATTGAAGATATAATATTTTACTGAAAAAAGACATCATTTTATTTAAAATAATAAGTAGAACTGCATCACAGTTTTAAAAAATCGCCCGCCCAAACCGGGAATCAAACTCATGAAATGTGAAACAAAAAAACACATGTATTTTTCCTAATTAACAGCATTTTAAATGAAAGAAAAATCACGAAATATGACTTTTTTTTAATAATTGAACACAAACTACAATGAAGAAGGAACAGTGCTAGGTTTGTATAAGTATAACTTTAGTATTTTTTTCTAGTACTTATATTAAGGAAATCCGGTATTATTATGTGAGCAGGTACTAGTTAGTAAATACTTTGAAATCATAACATTAGCTGTTGGAAGCACGGAAAAGTTAGAGGAAATTTTCCTCACCAGAATTGTAATTTCATGATCTTCATTTCATTTAAAATGCTATGTTATTTAGGAAAAAATAATCTTTATGATTAACCCTTGCGATGGTTATCATAAAATACGTCATGTGTTGTTTTTTCAAATTTCACGACTTTGATTCCCAGTTGTAAGAGGCGCTTTTTTAAAAATCTGTGAATGCAGTTTTAGTTATTATTAAAAATAAAACGATGTCTTCTTTCAGTAAAATAGGTCATTAATAGGTAGGTACTTTAATTTCCGGACCCTTTAAAGTTTGCGTTTCCGCGAGATTGATGATGAGTAGCTTTATTTAAACTACCAAGTTTGACTTGTGTTATGTGAAAAAATGTAACGCGTAATTTATGTCGACATAACACGAAACGCACGATTCAAGTTGCGGTTGAGGGCTTATGAATGAAGTGATTTCCAAAATTGATAAGTTAACACAAAGAAGGATTAGCTCAAGGGGATATCTAAATTTTGGTTCGATGTGGAACCAAACAAATAAATTTTATCTGCGTGGTTTAATTTGTTTCCAATAGAAACTTCCAACCGCCTTTTCACGCCCTTTAAGAGGGATTTCTGTTTTTCTGGAATAAAAACTATCCTGTCCTTTGCCCCGATTCAAATACTAAATTCTTTCCAGCGGTTTAAACTGAAGAGGTAGCTGCCATACAGACAGGCAGATACACATACTTTCGCATTTATCATTTTCATCACCATTAGCCTATTAATGCCCCCACTGCTGGGGCACAGGCTTTCTCTGTGGATGGAATAGGGAGACTAGACCGTGAACAACCACGCGGGCTCAATGGATTGGTGAATGCTAAAGACTAAAGATGCAGCCATGATCAACGGTTTAGCGTGCCTTTCAAAGCACGGAAGAGCTCGAGATAATGAGGTTTTGGTCACCCATCCAATAACCGACGATTGCGACAGTTGCTTGACTTCAACATCTCAGGCCGAATGCGCTAACCACCTGTGTCGTCGAGCTCCTAATTTATAATATTATTAGGATTGAAATTTTGTGTAATATCGGTGTTTATTTGTAAAGAGCAGTTGTCTGTAATCAAATTGGTTTCGCCGGCGATCGTTACTCTAACCACAAATAAATCACTGGCGCACTATAATTCTCACCAATAAATTTGTGAGCTCATCTTAATCTACATTTGAGGAGCTGGCGAACAAAACGGTATAATTACATAAAATTAAAATTTACAGGAGCTGTATAAAACTGAATGATATATAACCTCCATTGCGCTCCTGGCATGGTTTTAGATTTTTAAAGGACATCAGCCAAATCATATTTGGATCAAAGTTGAACGTCTAGAATAGACATTTTCCCCAATTATTATTAATTAAATATAAACAGTTTCTACAAGTTGTAATTGATACAAATAAAAGCCGAGTAAAATAAAAATAATAATAAAATACTGCATTGACATTCACCCTAACTTGTCCTATTTCGTAAACAATCTTGGCACTCCTTTTTATTGAAAATACAGCATTCAAAATCAACTGATAACTACAATCAATAGGTTTCAGTCCATAACAACGATTTATTCTAATAAATTATTGACATTGTTATTATTTTATTTTTACACAGATACGTAAAAATGACATAACTAATAAATGTTCAGAGCAAAATATCTTTTTTCCTCGGCTTTCTTTCGTCGTGATTCTTACATATATAAGCTTAATAAATTACGCAGAATCTAATGATATATCATTTTGTTGAAAGACGCAACAATTTAATTTGAAATAAAACGCTGTCTTTTAGTAATTTTAACACTGTTAAGGCGGTTATGATTGAAAATTATTTGATATTCAAATTTAACGAGCCCGAAACCTCCGGACTGTAAAAAAAGTAGTTTGACCAGATACGTAATTATACCGTTTTGGTCGCCAACTCCTCATTTGATATTATATTCAGCGGCTAATAGATTCAGAACGCAACCCATTATCAGTCTTTTTGAGATACTTTTACTCCCATAAGTGTTATCTCCTTGGTCGGAAGAAATCGGATATGGTAATTTACTTAATGCTTGCTAATTTTAGGAAACTACTGTATGTTTTTGTATAAAAACCTTAATAAAACAAAAGGTAGTTAACAGCCTGTGATCATTATATAAAATAATTTTTAACGATTTTTTTAGATTTACCTACTTTTAAAGTAGCGAAATCTTTAACGTAAATCATTTTCACCCACACACAAGGTCGGATTACATGATAACATAATTAAAAAATTAAAAAACACTGTAAGGTATAATTTATTTTTAATACATAAATCACACTTCTAAGCGTATCAATAATACTCTAGAATTATTTTTATTGATTGTTCAATGTTTGCAATAGAGCAAAATATGACCAGGATTTGCTGACTATCTGTAATTAAATTATTAAAATTAAAACCAATACAAAAAATATAATATTAATTTACCATTTATAAAAAGAAACTGTAACCTTATTGAAAACTGCCAAATTGAGATCAGAGTAACCCCACGCTGTAAGCTTGCACGGCTTCTGTGCCCTAAAGCATAACATTAAAACTGCATTATTAATATGAAAATTAAACTTTTTTATATTTAGCCAATTAAGTTTTTTTTATGAGTTATTATCCAACTTTACTTTACAGATAAAAATAGAAAAATAAATGTTTATATTTAAATATTAAATTAAAACTACACTTAAACTAGACAAAAAATAATAATCAGTTTTTCAGACTTAGACTTAGGGAATCTAAGTCTTCCCCGTCGGCAAAGGTTCCCAGGATGCTAGCGGCATTTCCCCGCTGAATGGCGAGGCTATGCGCTGGGCGACAGCCGCCAGCTCTGCGGTCTCCAGTGGTCTCCACCAATCTTTTCGCGATATCTTTGAAAAGTTGGTGGGCACCGGAACCCCAGGGACCCTGAGTCTCGACTCCAAACGCCGCAAATGTGAGGTCTCCACTGAGGCAATTATACTTGCGGCGTTTAAGCGCCTCTGCGATCGAAGCAGCCGCGCCAGCCCGCATCGGTAATAAGTAACTGTTTTTTTTTCTGTATATTTAACGTGGTATTGGAAAGAGAATGATACATTGCATATTTTTCATGTCTCACACTGTCGCTCTTTGCCAGCCCTTAAGACTCGAAGGCATGTTGGCGTGATTAAGGCTTTGGTTTATACTCAAAGGTATAAGACAACATCTTTGGGAAGAAAAGATAGAAGAAAATATTTAAAAAAGTGACGCAATCTTTCGTTTAAGTTTAGTGTGAACAACAACAAACCTTTTCAATACAAAAAGCAAGTCTTTCATAACTTGTGCGTTAGCTTTGTACCACAAGCTATTGCATACAGCATTACTAATTTCTGCACTCTGTAAAAATAATAACATTAACAACACTGGTTGTGAAATTAACATGATAATATTATTTTTAAATAAAACGTGTACCTACCGATAAGCTTATGAGATTACTATAGTAGCACAAAGAAAAGACTTGAAGTAACCACATACTGAGAAAGGCTAAGAAAATCGTCTTCCAAATGAAACCGTCGATTGTCTAGAATAGGAAACCGTTTCTTTAACCGTTGATATTAATTGAAATTATTAATATGAATATGATAGACGAAAATCAAATACATACCGTCAAATTAAATGCGCTGACGCAAATCACAATGGAACTTACGGCGATAATGCACAAATTAGATTTTGAATAAATCACCTCTAAAATATTTACGCATCTGAAATTAAACACAATTACATTAGTGTTTGAACACCACTCAAGTACTTCTTGGTTCAAGATTCCGCAGAGCTGCGTGAAAAAATGCGAAAAAAATATTAACAGTACATAAAGTAGCGTTTTATCGACAGGTATCTAATTAATGTTATTTAAAGCATTTATTGAGGAAACTTTATTATTCAGCTTACCTAATCAGTTCCTGGTGTCTCATAACTACAGGCATTAATCTTTTTCTGAAATTTTCGTACAATTCTGGGGTGTTAATGTTCGTCGCTTCAGGAACTATTTGCTCTATATCATATTGCAGCGTTTTAAACTGTATTTGAAGGAAGGTACACGATAGAGAATAGAAGCTGTCAGATCCGTGGACGGAAGTCGCGTCAATAAAACCTGTAAATATCACGACGGCCTTATTACACGATCCCCACTTGATCCTAATCTAAACAGTGAATTACACGATTAGGTACTGTTCGGCAAACAGTTTGATTTAGAAAATAAACATTTCCATATATAACACATACGAGCTCGTAGCTTTATTTCTTCAGTTCTTAATTCATATGATTCAAGTCGGTACTAAAGTACATGGTTCTATAAATAATTCGAGTTTTGTGAATTACACCAATTTATAATACATTCTGTTTTATGGTTTATCCACGAAAGGCATGCTACGAAGTTTTTTAAAGTGGTCTTAACTTTAGAATAGATTATACTTACCGGCCCAAAGTTGATGTAAGTAAGCAATAGGCCAGTATCTGATATCAGTTTCATCGAACGGGTACCACGACAGGAACGGTAATTGCATCACAAGTTTTCCGGACGAGTTGTATAAAACACATGTCAAAATCACTGGTCCTATAGCAAATAAAGCAAGACCTAGGATGTACAGTAAAACATTTAAATTCATGTAGACTGTCAGGAACATGGCCCTTTTCTTCAATTCTCTCTCTGTCTTTATTCTCAATTCAAATCTCCCAGATATGGCTTGCAATTTCTTCGTAGATTTTATCAAATCCGTGACGTGATTACCGTTTTTTACCAACAAATATGATTTTGCGCAAGCGAGCATACTCAGTGTCACGCATGGTATAAAGTATGTTAATTCTATTAGACTTGCTGTTTTATGCTCAAGAGCAAGCCATGCAAAGTCACATATCAAATGAGAGGTCAGCATTAATATGTTGAAGCAATAATACCTTCTACTAAGAAAACGCTGTACAACATTACGTTTTTCATCTGCTTCATCAAAATAGCAACCGGTCACAATAAGAAACGTATCCACCTTTTTCAGTAGCGTTTCATACAACTCTGTTTCTTCACTCATGTTACTTCTACTAAACTTTTAAAAAGATGTTTCTCTATATTGAACTCGTAAAACAAAATGAACAAAAAGTTGGTTAAGAAAAATAATGAACTGAGTATAATTAGGGGTTATGTGTTCTTACTATTTATTTGGAAACGAAACTGCAATTAAGTAATCTTGTCTGTAATAAAAAATGACTAGTATTTAATGGGACTGTTATTAAACCGTGTCTTCAATTAACTAGCGGAAAAGAAAAGAGTTGAAAAATAAACAGGATCGTATAAACAGTATTACGTAACTTCACCATTTAAATTACCTTGTAGCTTAAATTACATAATAATTTGTTCAAAATATTGACCGATTTCTTTAACTGTGAGTTTTTAAAATGCTCAAAATACGAATAAATTCACGGAAAAGATGCAAGTTTGAATACTCTAGAATTAAGAATTAGTAAAAGATACAAATACCAGTTACAGCTAGGCTTTGGCTGAGTAGCTTTTTTTATATATAGCCAGGTAGGCAAATGTCACCCGTCTCACTTCATGTTAAGTGGTGATAAAGTCCAAACGCGAAGATAACTGGCACAGCAGTTATTAACTGTGCTTAAATTATTATCTTTGCTTAAAATAAGTAGGTATTTTAATCTTCTTTATCTATGTAGGTACACAGGTATCTCTATTTTCCTTTGTCACACGTAATAACTTTACCGACTTAATCCGTCTTTTTACAAGTAATAAATAATACGGTACCATGTCACTGATCTGATGAAAGAGTTAGAAGATTGTAACATAAATATTAAAAAGATATAAATAAATAAAAAAATAAATAAAAATAGCGGCTATGTGCGAGTCGTACTGTGACGTATGGACGCACAGACAGACAGACAGACATGACGAATCCTTAAGGGTTCCGTTTTTTGTCATTTGGCTACGTAACTTTAACAAGCTTTTATTGTTTGTTAATAAAAATAACTAAAAAGTTAAAACTAATTTAAGTGTGATAAGAAATATACAATTTTACTTGTACATTATATCACATTTTACATTTTATTTGTTAGAGAAATAAAAAGATTTTTTAAATTTTCTAATAATCTATAGATATTTCTTTCAAAAAAGAAAGAAAGTTGGGCGCTACTATAGTTAACCTAATCATTGGGAGTTCCGAAATGAACAAAGTGATATCAGAAATCCATGAAAAACCTCTCTCTGATCTTTATTCTTTTTGACAACGGCATATATATTTCTCATTTTTTTTAGTTATAATATTATTAAAAATATACATACACAAAATTTAAGAGAATTGAGCCGCCATCGTTTTACAAAAACCGGCCAAGTGCGAGTTGGACTCGCGCACCGAGGGTTCCGTACAAACCTGTTGCCTGTAGGTATATTTTAATAATTATTAAAAAATATTTTTTATTATATGATGTAACTACAAATTTACAGTTTTCGCAATTTTTTCTTTATCTGTACTATAAGTTGTTACTTCGTACCAAATTTCAAGATTCTAAGTTCACGGGAAGTAAGTACCCTGTAGGTTTTGATTCCCGTGCGAGTTTCGAAAATTTGCGGCATAAGCGGCTGTATCCTTTGATTGCTTTGGCTTAGAAGTTTGATTTTTTCACAGCTCCAAGGGATAGTAGACCTGAGTATCCGGTAAGAATTTCAGTTTGATACCTTCACGCATTCCTGAGAAAAACGGTCTTGATAGATGGACGGACGGACGAACAACAAAGTGTTCCTAAGGTTCATAAGGGTGCCGTTTTTTCCTTTTGAGGTACGGAACCCTAAAAATGAGACATATACATACATATTTTAAAATATTCTAGCGTTTTTCTATCAGCTTTCAAATGTCCTAACACATAAAGAGTAAGGCTATGTCTATAAAAGTGCTATAATAAATCTAGGATATAAAATACAATCACATTGAAGTTCGACCACGTAGGTGCGTCACCAATAATTAACTGGGGTGTGTCCGAATCGCCATAACATAAGTGTGCAGATGGGGTCGCGTAACCGAAATTGTGCTATCAACGCTGAAAAGGGATCAGGTGTGCGTTGCTTACACACTTTGTTTGTGGTTGTGTACCCGACTGCTAGCAACTAATTAATGGTATTGGGTTAAACTTAATAATGTTCTATGAAGGCATGACACATATTATAAAAAAAGTAGTTGAATAAGTGAAGGACGTCGTACTTACCAGAGATAAAAACCCTTCATGTTGTCACCCAATCTGTATAATTCGCTAGATCATGCAATTTCTACGTGGTAGTGTTATAATTAAATTAATATAGATTTTTAAATCAATGTGTAATTTTAAGGATGCTTAGAGCGCCAAAAGTGATTATGGTTATTATCTGTACTAACTAAGTATTAAGTGATTGAACAAAAACTAACGTTCAGCTATATAGATGACGTTAATTTCAACATAAAATGGCGTCAGCGGCGGCGGAGGCAGCAGCCAAATGGCGTAAACGTTTCCAAGTGGAGTATCATATTGCGGCATTCCACCTCAATAAATTTCATCACATCAGGATGTGTAACGATCGGGCGAAAAATGTACACACCTACTCTCATCTTACGATGTACTCGTAAAACACGTAGTAATCGCATTTATTTTGGTGCAACATATTCCTATATATATTACCTCTCTGAGGTATGTAAAAAAGTAAATAAAATGAAAACAATTGTTTTCATCCAAAAACACTTTTTAATGTTTGATTTAAACTAAAGTTTAAATCACATAAATACCTAAACAAGTACGTAAAAAAGTAAATAATCCTCCTTTTGTGCTTATGGTCTTTGGAAATAATGTTCGTTAGAAGCCTGCGCAATTCATTTTAATCTTTGGTTTAGTTTTAATAAGATCCTTTATGAAAACTTTAGCATCATCAATATGCAATCCGGGATAAGTGGGCACACACCTCGTGAACTAAAGCCGATTATCTCCATATAGCTGCATCGTAAAGTATCCTTAACATCAATGTAAAAACAAATAAAAAACATATTAAAGTGACAAGAAAAAAAGAATATTAAAATCAGTAGAAAATAATCGACCATTTTCTAGCAAATATTTTCCTTAATTAATGAAAATCTAGTACTAACTACAATTATAAAAGAAAGATGATAACACTACTATAATTCAATTCAATATTTAATATTTGTTACAGTATAACAGAGCAGAAGACATTGACGACGTAATCATTAACATCTGGGAAACAAAGTTCCCTTTAATATTCTTTCAAAGATAGAAAATTACTAGTTATTTATTTACAAATTAAGTAAGGAATATGTTTGGTTTAACCAACAAACCTATGGTTTCAGTTTGACGGAACCACCTTGCGCCTTATTCACTAGGGGTAAAGTTTTCGTGACAAGACTTGGTATAACATTTATCTGTTTCCTTGTATGATATTAAAATCGACTTACCAATATTCTACTGGAGACGTGATTTTAGCTGCTGGTGGCAACAACATCCGGACTCAAATTTGTCCCCTAGGGAAATTAGTGCAGTAAAGCTTTCAAATGCCAATCATCGGCAAATATAAATATATATAGCGTATAAAGAAAGGATTCAACTACAAAACACGCAGAAAATGATAAATAAAACTTATTTATACAAAAGTACTTCTAATTTAAGTAACAGCAAAAGCTATTGAAAGTTATTTTGCTATCGCAAAACCAACGATATTGGGAATTTATGGCATAGTTCACAGATAGGACTAGTTGCTCTTACTTTGTCAGTTCAAGATAAGAGTGAAAATATTGCATCGTTACATGTTATTGAAGCACATTTGGGTAATGGGGCATTTGAATACCTTTATTCTGATATCTCTAAGCACTTAGGTGGTTCATATCTGAAAGTGGTCATAAGTTTGGATATTATAATATTTTCAGCTTGGAGTACCTATATAAGTATACTGATTTTGATTACACCTGACAGTATTTTGTGACCTTATCTTTGTTCTAGCGTTTGTGCATAGGTACTTATAAATAAATCCTCAGGCGCTAACTGGCAAACGTTTTTCTTTACGTTAACTATGCCGCACACATGCATCGTTTCTTTTGTTTTATGTAGAAACTACTTAATGTATCATAAGCCATTAGCAGCGCTGCAAACTTTTACCTTTATTTTGAATTGTAGGTAATGAATAGGTATCTCACGGAAAGATCTCTATTAATTATTACGAAAAGAATTCCGTTACAATAGCATGCTTTCAACGGAAAATTAAAAGCATGGAAATCCATTACCTACCCGTTTTATTAATCATAGATTTTATTTGACGACCTCCGTGGCCGAATGGTTTGCACGCCGGGTTTCATGGTGTCGCCGACTCGAGAGGTCCCGGGTTCGAATCCCGGTGGGGGCAGATGTTTGTGTGATGAATACGAGCATTTGTACTCAAGTCATGAATGTTTAATATGTATTTCTATATAAATGTACTTATATATGTACAGTATATGTATTCTATCCGTTACCCTAGCATCCCATAACCCAAGCCTGTAGTGCTTACTTTGGGGCTTAATTGGTGTGAGTGTTGGAAATATTTATTTATTATTTATAGATTGTTAAATTAGAAAATTATTGGAAAAGGTCCTCGAGTCCAATTATTATATGGATTTTTATTTATTGTAGAAGTTTTTGCTGAAATAACATCTAATCGGCATAAAGAAACCAAAAGACAATATTGCCTTTTTCGAATTCATTGAATGAACTTGCAATGTAGATACTATCAGATCGATCCATCCATCCATACAATAGTGGACAAAATTAAGATTATGTGTCTGGAAATATTGATTATTACTTCGAAAATGATCCAGTATCATGTTACATACGCATCCGTTATCATTAATAAGTAAATAATAATAAATAAACATCTATGGCAAGCAGGAAAACCAAGAGCTCATTACAGTAACATCCGCTCCTTCCGTTTCCGTAGTTAAAGTCGTTAGTGATCCTCACCACGATTTTTTTCTTTCATTACTTCTTTCGTAGTCGTAGTTTCAAAAATACACGCGTT